TTTTTTTTTTTTTTTTTTTTTTTTTTTTTTTTTTTTTTTTTTTTTTTTTGCGCTTTATCTAATCCACAAGAATATCTACTTAACAAAGCATGCATGAGTTAACAAAGTTAAGATTAGGGTGCTAGAGCTAGAGCAATTTACATGTTGACGTAGGTCAATACGTTTCCAGTAAACCGTGCACCCTAAGACCGTGACCGACGATCAAAGGTCTATACCTAAGTGAATCCAAAGATAGGATTAGTGCCAAAGAGCTAACTCTGATTGTCTTGGTAATACGAGATGTGATTTAAACCACCTAATTGCCCTAGTCGAAGACAGAATAAGGTTATCCAATGCAGTCCCCTCTTCTTCTTATAGAGTTCACCCCGAAACGATGAATTAGATAGACTGATTGAACTCTAAAGCAAGGTAAAGCGACTGAGCCTGAACACCTGAGCTATTGAACCGGAACCTTCTTTCATTCACTCCTCCTAAATGACAGACAATTCTACGTGTGATAGAAAAGGGAGAGGTGAATGAGCTTGACCTGATGATTGATCCTCCTGTTTAATGGTCTTTCTCCTTTCTTGCTTGAACTCGGCTGAACTCCTTAATGGTGAAGGTTGAACTATCTCTTTGCTTTCGTCTTGCCTTGAAACACTTGAAGGGGAAGAGAAAGAGAAAGAAGGAATCGAGAGGAGAAGAGAAAGATCAAGGGAATCTTGAGGAACAACAAGATTATTACATTCCCGGAAAGAAGGTCAAGATCCATGAAATGAAAATGGACGGCTATCATTCTAAAGAGTGGGAAAAGGAAATCAAAACTTTAGTCAACGCAAGAAAGAGTAATTCATTAAAGAGGAAGAAAAAGACTTTTTTAATAAGCAAGGAATTTGAAAGAAGTTTAAGAGGTTTGTGCGCAAAAATGAAGAACAATTTCTTTGTCCTCAACGCCTCTAAATTTCCAGGTTCGCCTTTGGAATGAAGATGGATGAACACTTGAACTTGGAACTGATGAAATTTGGGGGAAAGATGGAACCAGTCACTATACTGGGGGGCGAGACATGACTGCGACTGAAGATTCAAGTACCGTTGAAAAGACCAAAGGAACGGGGGGAATGACTACCTGTGCATACGCACAAATCGATCAATAATAGAAAAATCCGACGAATCGATCCTTCCGGGACTACAAATGACTTGAGTCCACTGGCCTATCACTAGGAGTTTGACGGCAGGCAGATCTTGGTATTTGGAGAGACAAGGCAGGCGAGTCGGATGGAACTCCTTTTGATTTACTCTTTTATCCAGCCTTTGCTCCACTATCAACTACCGGAATGGTTATTTTGCCTGCACCGCTTTCCTCTCCCGCGGCAAGAGCTCGTTCGCCAAGTCTGAACTCCCACTTTCTCGTCCTTGAGCTGTTCAAAAAGGTTCTCATCCAGCTGCTTTACCCCTGAACCTTTTCCTTCTTTAACTCTTTTACTAGGCTAGGTAAAGCGCTATTTGAAGAAAAGATTTTCTATCCCCATATAACTGTAAAATAGTAAAAGCAGTTTTCCCTTAATAGCTGGAGCTTCAAGAAAAGAAATTCTATCTTTCCCGTATTTTTGGGGACCGTATCCATATAACTTTGCTTGCCACCTACGCTACGCCATCCATTCAAACTTGACGAACCTAGGTAATAATATTCCGATAAAAGAGCTGACGAAGGGGATAAGCCAAAGAGGGAGTCTACTGGACGGGGTTCAACTAGCAGAGACTCTTGGAAAAGGAAAGAATAGTTACACCCGAGTTGGAGAGTCTCGTGTCAACAACTCCACCTGCTGAAGAATATATGGAATGAGCTGTTTACGTATTTGAGAAGTAGTCAAGAAGCCGAGCGGTAGGAGAGAAGTGTACCTCGCTCAAGAAAAGAGCTCATATGCTTTACCTAGTCTTTGAGTTCAATCTGTCTCATTCAGTAGTAGTGCAATTCATTCTCTTGTCTTTTATTTACTCTCGACCGTAAATATCTGATTCTTCTTTCATTTACAAGGTCGTATCGGTTCAGGTTTTCGTTTCTTCTTTCCTTCATGCCTGTTCAGTCTAACATATTCTCTCCTCTACCTTCAAACAAAGACTTACTACTCAGAGAAATCATCGCACCTATGGTCCAATTGGTAGAGAATCAATAGATTCCTTGTTCGGGAGCGATTCATCCTTCCAAAACGCAGCGCCCCTGATAATTGCGTCGTTGTGCCTGGGCTGTGAGGGCTTCCTCAATAAAGTCGTTGAGGTCAAGCACCATACAATGATTGTCACTAGGTGCTGGTAAGTCATCTAAATCCATTTCTTCTATGAAGAAATCCCAGTCTATAGTCATGGCGTTATTAAACTCATCCCAGTCCATGTCTATGTCTGGTTCCGACTTGAACTTACCTTGAGAGCTAGCTTCCTTTCCGGGCTCTAGGCTCCACAACGTTCACTCTTCCATCTTCAGCTGGTCTATTCTTCACTCTCCCAGCAGCATAGCATTCGTCTGTCTGAACATTGGGATGGGACAGTAACGAGCAAAATGTCCCACTCCTCCACATTCATAACAGTTACCGCCTCCGCTGAGCCTTTTCTTATCTCCTTTGCAGGAAGGCAGGCCTCGCGCTCCAAATGGCGTCTGTTCTCCTTGCAGCAGGTGCTGTAGCGAAACTGATTGCAAAAGAGGGGAAATCGGCCACATTAAAATTACCTTCTGGGGAGGTTCGTTTGTTATCCAAAAATTGCTCAGCAACAGTCGGACAAGTGGGGAATGCTGGGGTAAACCAGAAAAGTTTAGGTAGAGCCGGATCTAAATGTTGGCTAGGTAAGCGTCCTTTAGTAAGAGGAGTAGTTATGAACCCTGTAGACCATCCCCATGGGGGTGGTGAAGGGAGGGCCCCAATTGGTAGAAAAAAATCCACAACCCCTAGAAGAAAGCTTAACAGTCCTAGTAGTAATATGACAGTATTACCAGAGCCTTCGCTTCCTATCTCCTCTGAAGTACACCTTTAGTGCGAGCCCTACCTAGTATTAGAAGTATAAGTACCACCAGGTCAAGCCTAGGTCGAATAGTGTAGCTTGTTGAAGTAATCTAGGTGCCACTATTGTGTGTGGAAATTGCAAGGAGTTTTTTTAACAAGACCTTTGCGCTATAAACTCGTCTAGAGAGCAAGCAAAGAATCACTCAGATAACCTAGTAGTTGGTCAATCCAATTAGTTCAAGCTAGTTCATTTAGACCTATTCTATTTGATTTGGTTTTTGACCCATTTTCTCTATTTTTTTAGTCCACTTCAGATTTAATATTTAATAATAGGATCTCATTAGGATATTTGGAAGGAAAAGAAGTCATAATTTGACCAAAACTAAACTCGAATTGAAGTAGTTATTTAAAATATATGATGCTGCTAAGCTTATAGCATAAATATGATGTATCCTTGAATGCATGCTTAAAATGTGGAGCAATGGTTTGCGTTTGGCTTAGTAAAGCATGCTAAATTTTAAATGGCATGTAATATTGAAACCATGGCTGAAATATGATGATTTGTTGAATTTGGGTTGATAAAACGTGTTAATGATTTATGGCATCTAAGTTTATAAAGTATATTATGAGTGAGCCCTCAATAAATTATATGTTAAATGATCGTATAAATAGCCATTAAGATTATAAGATCATAAGAAATAAATAATTATAAATGACATTATAGTAATTACACGTTAAGCGATTATGCAATTATCCACCAAGATCATCGAAAACCTTCAATGATATTGTGACAAATACATACTAAGAAATCATGTAATTACCCATTAAGATATTATATTGTGTTCTTGGCATCTCAATTTTTATTCTATCTTAATAATTTTTTTTATATATAAGAAAAGTATTATCCCGTCAGAAGCATATATATTAAACTTTATAAATTAGACAATCGAAATTCGATTCTTTTAGTCAATTTTCTTAAAACCTAAATCTACCGATGTGGTTTATCATACTTTTACACAAATAAGATTCCAATAATTCTTAAGAGATCGAAAAAAAAAAAAAAGAAAAAAGAAAACAAAAATCCTACAAAAAGGAATATTTTCGTACCATAGAAAAATAAAAAATAAAAAATAATTAATTTTATTAAAAGAGATCTTAATCGGCATGATGAAGTGAGCGTCCGGCATCCTTGAAGAGGGCCCACACATTACTTTGACAATGGCCCACCAACTCATGGGTATGGTTGGTGGGCCACCCATTTTGTCCAAAGCTTTTTTTTTTTTTTTGTTAATATTAAATATTTTTTTAAAAAATAAAAAGCTGTGGAGCCGTTATCATTAACCTCATACACATTTACTTTTCTACAACAAAATAATAATAATAATAATAATAATAATAATAATACTAATAATAATAATAATGTGGAAATTAATTTTAGAATAATTTTTTTTTAACACAAACGCATCTTTGAAGAATTGTTTTTCTAAATTTTTTAATGAAAATATTTGGCTCCTCATTTATTTTTAAATTCATATATTTTATATTATAAATAAATAAATAATACTTCCCAAAAAAATTTAGTAATTAATTAATATGCACCGTGAATAAACTATTAAATACATTTCTAAACTCATGTATAGCTTAGTAAATAATATTTATAAATAAATCCTAAAAATACTAAATAATTTTTTTTTTTATGAATTGAATAAACAAATTGATTAAAGAACAAATAATTCATACATATTTTTGTAATTAATATTTAATTTTCCAATTAGCTGAAAATAATGAATTGGGTGTGATTCAACTTTTTTGTTTATTCTAAATAAAACAATTTCCCCATTACCTTCCTTCCCTCTCTTTTCTTCTTCTTCTGCTTGTCTCTCTCTCCTTCCTCTCAGTTTTGCACCATTTTTCTGCAAAAAAGATCAAATTTTTAATCTCCCCTTCTGCAAAAATCCCTCCTTTTTGCCTCCTCTGTACATACCCACCATACAACAAACACAAAACTCCACCATCCATGGCCGCCAACAAATTTGCCACCATCTTGCACCGAAACTCCAACAAGTTCACCCTTATTTTAGTCTACGCTCTTCTCGAATGGGTTCTCATCTTTCTTCTTCTTCTTCAAGCCCTTTTCTCTTACCTGATCGTTAAATTTGCAGAGTGGTTTGGGCTGAAGCGCCCCTGTTTGTGGTGTTCCAGAGTGGACCATGTGTTCGAGCCTGGGAGAAAGCGTTCTTACAGAGATCTTCTTTGTGAAGCTCATTCCTTTGAGATTTCTAATCTGGGTTACTGTTCGAATCATCGGAAACTCACTGAGTTTCGAGATTTGTGCGAGGATTGCTCGTCTTCTTCTAAGTCCGACGAGTTCTATCAGATTCCTAAGAGCTTTCCCTTTTTCGGTGATGAGAAGGAGGGTTTGAAGAGCTGTTCTTGCTGTGGGGAGAGCTTGAAGAATCGTTTGTTTTCTCCTTGTATTTTGATTAAGCCCAATTGGGGGGATTTGGATTATGCCCAGAAGGGGGATTTTATTTCTGAGGCGGAAATTGATGTTCAATCGGAAGATGTCATCGGAGACAGGGAAATCTCCAAGGTTTCCGGCGAGGAAGAGGCTGAGAAGAACTCCACTTGCTCTGTTTGTGGCTTTGGCTGTAAAGATTCAGCGGTTCATGAGGATGACGATAGAGCTGAAGATCTGAGCTCTTGTAATCAGAAACCAGTTCAAGTTGGTTGTGAGAAAGAGGATGAATTGGCTGAGATTTCTCCAAATCATCTTGAGTTCTACATTGACCGGGGCGACGATCGGCGGCTGATTCCAGTTGATTTGATCAACTTTTCGGCCTCCGAGGATGACCACAACAATGACAACGACAACGACAACATCCTTAGCCAAGTGAAAGATGAGGAACAAGGACAAGAGGATTGTGGGAATGAAGATGTCGTTTTGGACTTTGTCTCCCACTTTGAGAATCAAGATTGGGATGTTGCAGAGGTGGAAGCCATGGATGTGGAGGAGAGTAGCAAAAGCCCCTCTGGCTATGAAGATCCATCAATGAGAGAAGAACAAGCTGAGGCTTCCATTGATGCTCATAAAGAAGGCCTTGAAGAATTGGCAGTGGCAACAAGAGAGCCAGACTCAGATCTTCATCAAGGTACTATTCTTCAATGGATTATGATAATGTTTTCTTTGAAGATCAAATGTTTGCTGAGTACTTTCTATGCTTGTTTTTGTTCTTGTTTCAATAAATAAGTAGATTTACACATGTGGAATGATGAACTTGAGGTAGAGATTTCGATTGGGACGAATATTCCTGATCGTCCCGATCACGAACCCATCGGCGACAGTCAAACTCAAACCGACCTTCCTCCACATTCTGATGCACAAGAAGATCCTTCCCCAAGTTCATCATTGGAATTTGACACTATGCAAGGTAGCATACTTTGCTTTCTTTTCCCATATCATATCAAGAGTTTAGCTAAATCTGATCATTAGTATTTTGCTGCATTCCACATTTAGATTCTAACAAAGCTCGGAAATCTGAGCTCGACGAGGAAGTCGAGGAAGTCGAGGAAGCCGAGGAAGCTAACGAAGAGGTAGAGTTCAAGATCTTGTCCGTGGAAACGAGTTCTCAACCGTTGGACGATCACAAACCGTTGAGTTCTGAGCTCAATGAGAATGAAGAAGAAGATAAAGTTCCTGATACACCCACTTCAATGGATAGTTTCCATCAGCTACACAAGAAGCTGCTATTACTCGACAGAAAGGAATCTGGAACGGAAGAGTCGTTGGATGGAAGCATCATAAGCGAGACCGAAAGCGGGGATGGAGTATTGACGATCGAGAAGTTGAAGTCAGCGTTGAGAACGGAAAGAAAGGCATTGAATGCGTTATATGCAGAGCTAGAAGAAGAGAGAAGTGCTTCAGCCATAGCAGCCAACCAGACAATGGCAATGATCAATAGGCTTCAAGAGGAGAAAGCAAGCATGCAAATGGAAGCTTTGCAGTACCAAAGAATGATGGAGGAGCAATCCGAGTATGACCAGGAAGCTTTACAGCTTTTGAACGAGCTCGTCGTAAAGAGGGAAAAGGAAAAGCAAGAACTCGAGAAAGAACTCGAAGTTTACCGAAAAAAGCTTCAAGATTATGAAGCTAAAGAGAAAATAGCATTGTTAAGGAACAGAAAAGAAGGTAGCTTCCAAAGTAGACATTCTTCGGTTTCTTGTAGCAATGCCGATGATAGCGATGGGCTATCGATCGATTTGAACACCGAAGCAAAGAAAGACGAAGATTTATGTTCTAACCAAGAAACGGAGAATCAAAACACCCCGGCTGAGGCAGTCCTTTATTTGGACGAAACCATGGCGAATTTCGAGGAAGAAAGGCTGTCCATTCTTGAGGAGCTGAAGTTGTTGGAAGAGAAGCTTTTCACTTTAACTGATGAAGAACAACAATTAGAAGACGTTGTACATTATTGTGAACAGAATGGTAATGGCTACCACAAGAACTCGGATTATACCACTGAAACAAACGGATTCGAAAACGGTCACCATTTGAACGGAAAACATTATCCCGAGAGAAGAGCGATGAGCACGAAAGCCAAACGACTTCTTCCCCTTTTCAATGATGCAGTCGATGCTGATATTGAAGACGTAACAAACAGAGAAGAACAAACTTTCGACTCCATTTCTGTCAACAAATTCGATACAGAATTCAGGAGGGTTGCTGTTGAGGAAGAGGTCGATCACGTGTATGAGAGATTACAAGCACTCGAAGCAGATAGGGAGTTTCTAAAGCATTGCATTGGCTCCATAAAAAAAGGAGACAAAGGCATAGAGCTTCTCCAAGAGATCTTACAGCATCTCCGCGATCTAAGGAGCGTCGATCTCCATTTGAAGAACATGGGAGACAGTGTCCTAGCATGATCGCGATTCATACAACACAACAGGTAAAAAAAGCCTCACGAATCCTTCGCATAATTTCGTTTTAAACTCCGAAGATGCATCGTAAACTGAACGAACTTGGTTAACTTGTTTCTAGTCCTTGGTAAATACATAATGTGGTCCTTTGGAGTGCAACAAGCAACGATACCAAAATCCAACAAGCAACGATACCAAAACCAAAACCCGAAGCCCCCACATTGTCATCGTCATCGTCGTCGTCGACAAAATCAGAAAGGCTCCATATGGTGGAGCCTTCTGATTCAAAAAATGTTGGACTAAACAAACTAAAGTCCGCCCTCCTAGCTGTGTTAATGAGTCAAAGTTGGCCCAAAGTTTTTGTGGGTTGTGTTCATAGTGATCACCTACTAAGGGAAGGTGAATTTGTGTGTAGGACAGTGAGGTGTAGCCAGTCTGTCATTTGTCTTATGTTTCTTTTTTTGTGAGGGAAGAGAGGCTGGCTTGCAAAGCTGGAAAGATCATAGGCAAAGATTCCAGTGCCAGGTACGTAATTATAGCTTTAGTTTTATTATTTAGGCAAGTTTTTAGATTTTAAGGACAAATCTTTTTCTTTTATTTTTTCTGGGAAGGTGAAAGGATTTGGGTAAAGAACCCTTGTTGTTTCCCTTCTCCATCATTTGCATCATTTCATCAAATGGGGTTTGTTTTTCTTCATCCTCTTCTTCTTCTTCTTACTATTTGAACGCCAAAAAATTGAGTTCTTTGTACACTACTACATCTTTCCATTTGTAAAGTATATAAAAGTTGAGTGCTTTGTCTACAACTCTTTTCAAGTTTACATTCCGTATTCACTCGGTACTTTATAAAAGTGGAAATTTCTCCCTAGAAGACGCGTTTTAAAAACCTTGACAAAAAGTCCGAAAGGGAAAACCCAA